TCCAGATTTGAAACAATTAGAATTCAATATGCAAATACAATGTCTGATTAGTGGAGCCATGCAGCCACCTCCAGTGCCCAATGCACAAATGTGCAACACCACATGGCTCCGGAAATTAGTACAGCTTCCTACCGACCCCATCAGATCTGTCCTTAACTACATTTTGATTACAAGGGGCCAAGAAAATTTCAGCAATAGGGCTTTTACTGGCCTGTGGATTTCTAAACTCATTTTTAAAGTTTGCAAAGTATTCCTTTCCTCTTTTTTTCTCACAGGCATGTTTCCTCCTTCCAAGTATCTTATTTAGACTTTCCCTTAGGCTTTAAATTTCATGAAGGTTGAAATGACATGGACCACAGTCTAAGCACATTCAGAGGCTTTGGATGGCCAGCATCATTCTGGAGAGAGCTGGAGCTGACTGTGCTTCTCTTTCGTTTGTGATCCTATGAGGGAGTAGATTCTGTGCTGTGACTCCTGGCTGTGCAGGGACCATGTGGCTGCTTTTCCCACAGGCATGGCTACCTGGAAAGCCATTCACCGGGCTCTTCAGTGTTGGCTTTTGTAGACTTTGGCCTGACATACAATCTATATGTCAAGTTGATGGCCATGCTGTCCTTGCCTCCCTTCCCTTCCTCTTCACTCACTTCTTCCTTCCTTCTTCTCTTAGTCTCTCTCCCCTCTCTTCTTTCTTGCTTATTATTTCCCTCTCCCTCTCTCCCCCTGTATCACCACTAAATTCAACTCTTACTCCAGGTAATACTTGGGGCTTCAGATGCATTACATGTAGAGTAGATTTTATTGCCATGGTAATGGTGAAGCCTAGGATTAAAAACCAGATGGGCTGGAGAGATGACCAAGAACATTTACTGCTGCTGCAGAAAACCATGTTTGGTTCCCAACACCCATATCAGGCTGATCACAACTACCTGTAACTTCATTTCAAATGGATCTGATGGCCTTGGACCTCTTCAGCCAGGTACACATATGTGGTGCATATAAACTCAATAGATACTACACACACACACACACACACACACACACACACACACACACACTCACACCACACCACACTCTCATAAAATATTCAGAAAAAATGATTTGGAAATCAGCTCTTTTTCTAAATCTTTCAATTAAGAAATCACTTTCACAAAGTTATACATTTAGTGTCCTCCCACTATGCACTTAGTGGGTCCTCTTTGGTCAAAATGGAAAGGATGCTCCCATTTGATACTGTCATAGATGCCTTGAAGAGGAGGCCCAAGGTGTGTCTATCCACTGTTCAGTGGGAAAATAGCTTCCGTTACAGGCTCTTTCTTTGCTTCCTAAAGTATAGACTTGGAAGTTCAGCAGTTTAGTCAAGTAGTTGGGTTGGTGGTAGTCCGCTTAACTAATTAACACCAATTCCATGCTTGAATTTTTCCCCATTAACTGAACAAAAGCCATCACTAATGAGGCCAGCACAGAATGCCATCTGACTGACTTTGTTGGAGAGAATTAAAATGAGAAAATATTATAAATATGTGTGGGAATTGGACAGGGCCAGACATGATATTCAGTACACTTAATAACAAGTGTATAAGGGCACTGACCAATCAGAGCAGACAATGATACTCTGGGCATTTGGAAGAAAAGGAGGAAGACTTATTCTAACATGTCATAGTAAGGCATATGAGCCAGGTACAGGACTCATCTCGGGCAAGATCTTTCCTCTAAGATTTTAAAGAAATGGAAAGAATAGTCATCCCAGGAGCTAGGTCTGTGCGAGATAACAGAATGACTTGATGCTGGTGGATGTGAGGGTGAGTGGATTGGAGGAGAAGTCTGGGCATCTTAGCAGAATTAGCTCCAAAGAGGATTGGTCATATGCCAGCTTGTGTATATTTGCATGTAATTAGCATAAAGCTACTCACTAAGGATCTGTGAATTGCATATGCAACTCATCACCCAGCAACCTCTTGGAATACCATTTATATGATATTCAAAGATATGTTTGGTTATAGAGAATAGAAACTTGCTGAAATTTATTCAAATAAAAAGAGGATGTGAGTCAGAGAGCCTCAGGACCTCACACTCCACAGGACAGACTTGTTTTTCTTCATGGATTTGGTCCCTAGGTTAGTGGTACCAGCTAGGGACTTTGCCTCATGTAACCATCCAACTTCGCTGTGTCTGAATGATACTCAGATGTTCCCTTGGGCATGATCTTTGTATCATGGCACTTAGCTTTCTTGTGTGACTGCTTTTTGGTGCATGGCTAGGGACAAGTGGTTTGTTTGCTGATAAAGGACCGTGTGAGTGCTGTATGCAATATCCAGCTCCCAGATCATGCATCCAAGCTCGACTATGTAGCCATGTGGCTGTCAGGGAGCTAGAAAGTCTAGCTGACTAGTCTAGCATTGTGGGCTGTCTTGCACTTTTCTGCTGTGCGTGAAGGGAACACTCTGTATTTTGGTAGACCAGAGGGAGTCAGTGTAGGTTGGGTTAAGGCCATCTTGGAGAAGCCAGCTAGCTGGGTATGGTAATGTGGGAGCTGCAAGTTTTCCAGAGGAGCTCTCTGTTTCCCATCTTTTGTCTCCCATTCTCTGCCTCTCCTACTGTCTCTTTTACCTGAAGATGACTCTTCTCTCCTGTCTCCTACCCATCCTCTCCTGGTCATCTGTCTTGAACCTGGCTTCAAATACTATCCTCCGCAATACTGTACTTGGGCTCCCAAATCTGAAGTGTCCTGCTGTGTCTCTTGGCTGTTATTACTTGAAGATCTCATTACCCTCCCATAGGGAGTCAAGAACAACTGGCCTTACCACCTAGGGGTAGGGGGTCCCAATCTGCTTTCAATGGCCCAGTAACATGAGGTATAACCAATGGAAAGCAGAAACATTTTCTGATATACCTTCTTCCTAACTGACCTAAGCATGACACAGCACCACAGCTATCAGCATGGGATATAGGTATGAGCATTGGGTATAGATATTAGCATAAACTATAGATATTAATACATAGCGCAATATATAGGTATTGGCAAAGGCTTTATATATTATATTACATATATGGATATAGATACTAGTACAACATTAGATATTAACACGAAGCCCAGAAGAAAGTATGCAGGCAGCTGGGCCACATGAAGCATTCTGCCATGTCAATCTCTTATGCAAGGTGACTTGTTTCTTAGTTGTCTCTATATTTGGACACTGTAACTCTGTGCTTGAGAGGTCGAGGAGGCCTGAGTGCTAACTTCATGGCTTAAAGGTGCTTCCACCTCTGAGCTGAGAAATGGGACGGCTCAAGGGTGAGAGCCAGCATGAGATGCCATTGTCCTGCTCAGTCTCGTCACCAGCATGGATATGGAGGTGATCACGGTGGATTGTAGTCTGAGTCATCCTGTCTGCGAACCAGAGTGAGTGAATGCACCCTGATCAACTCTCATCTTCTACTCACCACCCACACTGCCATTAAAAGTAATACCCAAGCCGCGAAAACTCTGGGCTGAACTCACCGTTTTCTCTGGTGTATAGTTTATTCCACAGGGATAATTTTTAAACAAATTATTTAAGCTAAATCCAGTCATGTGCTTTATTTAAAGTGACAGACTCGTAACAGTCTGTAGTTGGCCATATGAGCCCTTGGAATTTGAAGGCCTCAATTCTAATTCTGGCTCCTGGCATTGCCAGGTATGTGCCTCCAGGCTGGATCTTTCTGGTGTCCAGAGTTTCTGTTGCTTCTTTCACAGATAGTGCGAATGCTGGTAGTCACTTTGCGGGGTTGTGAGGGAGTGAGTTGATGTACCAAGAGCCTCTGGCTTGGAACTGGCACATATCTGGCAATTCAGAAAACGTGTGGCTTAACAGAACACCAGTCCTTCCTCACCAAAGGGTCCAGGGAAGACAGGACGACCTATGAAGGGCTGTCTCCATGTTCCCACTGCCTTTTGGACTTGGTGACACTAGAATTAGGATGGCCTGAGAAAGACTGCTGTTAGAGTCTACTGACTCTTCACATATTTACATATTATATGTATGTATATAGAAATAAGTGCTTACATACATTACATATATATTTTCACATATATGTGTGAGAGCATGTATATATTTTTATATAAAGATCATAATCAACTATCTCATTATAAGAATGCCTGAAAGTGCCGGGCGGTGGCAGCGCACGCCTTTAATCCCAGCACTTGGGAGACAGAGGCAGGAGGATCTCTGTGAGTTCAAGGCCAGGGGACCGACAGCCTCCAAAGCAATACAGAGAAACCCTGTCTCATAAAAACCAAAAAAAAAAAAAAAAAGAATGCCTGCTGAAAGAACAATTTGAATTTGAATTTGATTTAATGTATTTTAGAAGTTGTCATCTGCTTTTTCCTCTGTGTGTGTGTGTGTGTGTGTGTGTGTGTGTGTGTGTGTGTGTATTTTAAGCTCTGGAAGAAAAACAGCTGGTGCACAGACAGGGTAGATGAAGACACCTGTCACCCTGTCCCTTCCAGTCTTACTTCTGCAGACCTTGCGGCAGAAAGTCCAGACTGCTTGTCAGAAGTGTTCATTGTCTCAAAACACCCTCTGGCATTTTCCATTTCCTTTCCCATGACTTCTAAGGGAGAATTACCCTGTAAGGGTGGTTCACCCATGGGTATTCTAGTGAAAATCCTCAGGACACTGGGATCATAGTGAAGATAGTGCAGAGTACCCAAGAGTTAACTTCATCTCCCCAGCAAGGAGTCCTGGTCATTTGAGGATAGGATCATAGAAATGCAAATGACCCTGGAAATAATAACACCTTGGTGGGAGTTCCAGTACAGAGAAAGATGGGGAATTTGAGACCCCCAGGTAGGGAAAGTTGGAGAATAGATTGAAGAAACATCTGGGACTCAAGGCCTGTGAGGTGTTCCATACAAGGGCTTTTGCTTTTATCTGGTTTAGTCCAGAAGCTAGAGATGTGGTTGAGTTAGCAAAATGCTTGCTGTAGAAGAAGCAGGAGGACTTAATTCAATCTTCATCACTCACCTGAAAAGCTGGGCATAGTGATGAGCACTTGTAGTCCCAGCTCTGGGGAGGTTGAGATGGGTGGATCCTTGAGGCTCACTGGCTGGCTTGCCTAGCCTGCTTGGCAAATCTGAGGCCAATGAGAGAACCTGCCTCAAAAAAAAAAGATGAATCCTTGAGGAATTATATATGCTTGTCCTCTGGTCTACACACACACACACACACACACACACACACACACACACACACACACACACACGTGCCAGCAGACACATGACCACACCGATTTTTAGGGTTCAAGGGAAGAATTTTTCTGAATAGAACCAGATGATGTTAGTAAGTGTGACTTGGTATTCTAACATAGACTCAACTTTCTGTTGCACAAATGGTTAAAGCCTGGAGGTACTAAGGGGCCTCCTTGGCGAAGTCAGACTCATAAACTCCTGATCAAACATAGGACACACATCCTGGTGACAGTGGACAGGTGATGCTCTCATCCCACTAAGGAGCTGTGGGAAATGAGGCTGATGTATCTTGCTGAGCAACACACGGTAAGGAGCAGAAGGTGCTGGACATGAAGTCAGGTGGTCTTAACCACTGTGTCCTCTGGCCTTCCAGTGTCGCACATTCCAAACCTGTCAGAGGACTGTCTGGTTATCCCATCAAGCCTCAGCATCTACTGTGCTAAAGATTTAGTCGCATAAAAGGCAGCCACTTCTCTTTTACTGTATGATCTATTTCTACAGCATGATGTCATTATCTACATGACCTTGATGAGGATAATAACCCAGCTTATAGGGCGGTCAATCTTCATTATTTTTTTACTAATTAGTTAAAGACTCGTGTCATTTGGAGAGAGGCTAAATTACAGAATGCATTTTAGTTTATTACTTTCAAACATACCTTAGCCCTCCCCTGCCAAATTATGTAAGGATGTTCCCTTCTGAGACTCACTTTGATGACTTGTTATTAACATTAATATCGCTTAATATGTAAATGAAAATAAATCTTAATATGAGCCCCTGGCCTGTCCTCTCTGTTCTCATACATCCTTCCCAATAACCAACTGAACACTTTCATTATCCCTTACCAATTATCCCTTACCAGTTTTCATTATCTCATTGGCTTGTTCCTTGCCCATCACACCTTCCCCATCTAAGAGCCTTTCTGATGCAGCTGCTGTTCAAATCCACAGAACTACCATTCACGCTTCAGTTAGTTCCCCTCTTCCCTTCTCCACCTTGGTCCTCCAGTGCTAGCTAAGAGGACAGATTTCCTGTTCGTTCATCTCCATGGTGGTTTGCATAGCCACCTGATTAGGGCCCGCCCACTCCTCAGGGTATCTCTCTGGGGTTCATCTCTCACTGTTTCAGTGTTCCCTTTATTTTCCTCTAGAGTTTTGCCACTGTGGCTTTCAGGCTCCTGTGGGTCAGGTGTTTGCTTGTTTTCTTAGTGAGACTAAGAGCTTTTTGAAGGTTCTCATTCCCACAGGCTAGAGCCTGTTGACCTACTACCTGATGTGTTGTAAATGCTAACTTGTGAATAGTGTGCTCCTGTGTGTGTGTGTGTGTGTGTGTGTGTAGACTTGTGTGTGTGTGTGCTTGTGTGTGTACTACTCTGTGTATGTGTGTGTGTGTGTGTGTGTGTGTTAAAAGATATTTGGCAATATCAAGTCATTGCATCAACTCGTGATTGCAGAGCAATGCAAATCTATTTGGGGTCCCTGCATCAGTCACCTAAGAATCTTTCAGGTTACAAATAAACATGCATATTTTCCAACATATCCAAGGGCTATCTAAAAGGGTTTCTGCATGTGAGGTCCAGGTGTATGTACGTTGAACACACTCTTTGTGTCAGTGTCTAAGGAACAGTGTCTTCAGAACCAGGATGCACACTGAGTCTGGTCTGAAGTAGCTACATAAGCCCCAGGGTTATGAGAGATCAAGAGGGGGGCTTGTGTGGCTCTTTCCTAGGACTCTATCCTTAAGCATGGTTGAGGGCTCTTCCTCAGTTCCTCCCCCTGCTAACACTCTGTAGAACCTGTCCAGGAGGTAGAACACAATATAAAGAGTTTGGTATCTTCACTTAGGAAGGCTGTGAAGAGATGATTGGATTGATGTTCATTAAGTCTTCTATATAAACTTAATTGTCTTAAGAAAATCTCCACTAAAAAGCCAACAAAGCCAAGTGCCACCGAACAAACTAGTGGTTCCCCAATGATTCTGTGACTCGGGGAAAATATCTTAGTATTTCCAGGGCTTCTACAACTGAAGTGTGGAAAAAGGCATCCCTGGGACATGGATATGATGGAACTGGGTCAGATATGTGATGCACTCTGGAGGGCTTGGGCATGATGAGCACTCACTGATGCTGCCTGTGATGATTGCTTTCTGCTCCATCAGTATTCCAGGCATGCTGTGTTTAATTGTGTGATTAACATCCTCGTTTCCATGTCCATCCAAGGCACAGAGACTGGGGTTCATAAGGACCAGGCAGATTGTGCTCAATAAATGTGCAGTTGAGTCAAAAAACAGACAGTCCACAGGGTGCACATGATGTAGAACTACCCGGTGGAGAGCGGACTTCTCTGAAAGTCCAGGTTGTGAATATCTTGAGTAAAGCTAGCTGATTACCATAGATGACAGAGACCCTGATTGCACCTCCTGGCCCTATCTGAGGACCTGAAGAAGGGAGGGGTCCTTCACCGTATGAAGAACCTGAATATCTTCCACTCACAGGCAGTGAACAAAGAAGGAACATTTCCATCATGTGCTTCTCTGGAAAGGATTTTCGATGGGTGGATTCAAATGGGCTTGGCATGCCCATCCCTGGCATTACCCTGCCACAATGCACCCCTCCAGAAATCTGTACAGACGACTAATGATGTTAAAACTACCAGGAACCTCCCTCAATACCCGCTCTTCCTGCCAAATGGTTGAGATTCCAGGCCAGCTGGGTGTCTGCTTATTTACATAATTAATCTAGTATGAAGTCTTTATTTGTCCCCCCTCAGCTTTCTCTTTTCCAGGATAAATAATCCCCAATTCCTCCATCCATAAGCCTCAATTTTACAACCTTTTAATCATTTTGGTGGTTCCCTCCTGGATTTTCTTTTGGCCCTATTTAAGCCTTATCTAAATTTAACAGACATGCTACAATCTGCAATTATGAGAGGCAAATCCATCAGAACCCGGCACCATCTCTCATTTGGATCCCTGTCATCTTCTCACTGTCTGTGATTTTGACATGGGAGATTCTGGACACTCTTTTTGCTCAAATTGGGGTACCGTTATCTACCCTGGTGCCTAAAGTCTCCAAGGTCCTGAAAATCCAGTTCCCATGAAGGCAAAACCAAAGACCACCTGAGTCCAAGAGGGAAATCTTTATTCACTGGATTTGGGGGGTAGGATTCAGTGGATGGAGATACCAGGACCTATTACAGAGAGAAGGTATTGGCAATCCTTATTGTGTGGCCTTGAGAGTATAGGCAGAACAAGTGCTCCCCAAAATCTCCATGAGATGTTATTAGCATCAACAAGGCCCATAATATTATTATTTTTAATATACTATTAGAATCCATCTAGTTGTTTCTGTGTCCAGGATCAGAGCCCAAGGTTCAGGAGTCCAGATTGTGCTCAACCTATATCCAACAGGGAGGCAGATTCTGAATTCTAGGTGTCCTGGGGGAGCTAAGGTATATGAAAGACTCTGACAGCAACAGCCTTTGTAGTATCCTGAGGCCAGGCTAGTCTGAAGTCTTATCTGACTGTCCCTGGATGGCCATTTTCTTATCCGACACCAGGTTGAGCCAAAGAAACAAGCCAGGCAGATTTCCTGACTGTCAGGGGACTTCAGTTCTCAGTGGCAGCTAGCTTAGCCACCACCCAAGAGTCCATAAAAGGCAGCTGGGATAGTTATGACACAGTCAAGAAAAAGTGGCATTGCTGGAGTTCTCAGATGGGGGGTTTGTAGGCAGGGATATTTTGAGAATGGACAAAAAAGAAAAGTGTTGGGACTGAGTTGAGACTGTGGCCTGTCATTGGAAAGACACAACCCACCATTTTGTTTGGCTCATACTTGTCCTCTCCTGGGTCTAATCTATCCTGTAATGGTTGGATTTCTTTCCTCCTTCTCTTCTATGCTGTGACTTGATATTTCCCAGGGAACTGCTTGACAGGGTGTAAACAGTGAAGTGTGTATTTAAGGAAGGATTAGCAATATAGACATTCCTGTTTGGCTACCCTGTCAACAGTTTCATGGTGAAACTTCCACTCACCAACTCAGCACCTAATTTGGCGAGGGAGATTATTACTCAGTGCAAAAATCAAATACAATCCTGTGGGGTTTTTCTTAGGCAGCCTATCATGTCACTCTGGTTTGGAGATCAATAAAGAAGAACCCACTCCTCATTAATAATGAGTGAGTTGAAGCTAGAGCAGGGAAAGGCCTGAGAGATACCAGAAAGACAGTCTGGCTTTTTTGTGGATAGTGCAGGGTTGGTACTGATGACTGCCATGCTGCTTGCTCTCTGGTGGCCACAATTGACTTTCCCGGGGTGGGGGTGGGGGCAGAGAGAGGTGCCTTCAGCCACAAGAGAGAAATTCTGTGAAGGACACACATCTTCAGAAAAAGCCATGTACTGGTTAAAGTGTTTCATCACACTGGCTAACCAAACATTCACTGGTTGAATCAATCATTATTTATAACAGATAACACCTCTTATCACAGATATGAACAGAACTAGGAGATGCCATGGATCTTGTGACCTCAACAGACCCAAGGGTCTGGGCTTACTGCCCAGAGTGGTGTGATTGGAGAAGGGTGGCACATTTAGAGGTGGGGCTTAATGGGAGGGTTTCAGGTCTTTGTAGGTGATTGTTGATGGATATAGTGAGTCCCTTTCTCTCTTTCACACCCAGCCATGGAGTAAATGGTTTTCTCCGCTACACGGTTTTACCCTGTGTTTCCCCACTCTTAAGTTCAAAACAACAGGACCAACTAATCAAAGATAGAAACCTGATAATTGTTCACCAAAGTAGACATTTCCTTCCCTAAAATTTAATTGGCCTAACCTCATTGTATGAATGAGGGATTTCATTATGACATTTTCACACATGGATGCTTTGCTAATATCCAACTCTCACTATCC